GACAATTTTTATTCATTTTTTTTCTAATATTTTAAAAAAATTTCTAGTTTTCAATGTTCTCTCCAATCCCTTTACCACTTCTGAATTAATTATTATCAATAATACTAGACTCCCAATTGACCACGAACTAAACCAGAATGATTTTATTCACATGAACTTCGGTTTAGAATTTATCTCATATCATCTTTACAATTTAAGAGTATCCAAGTACTTTGGTTATTTCAAGAAAAATGTACCTCACTAACATCTGAGGAATCACGAATGCCCGCGAAGCCGACTAAAAATTTATCTAATGTATCCTTCGATATCCTTAAGTTGTGTTTCTACTACTATAAATTATCAGTATGCGATGGATACCATCAGTAGGAAAATTGGTTTAATTGTTGGTATTTTCTCTCGCGATTTTCATTTGCATTTGATCATTAAGGTATTTATAGCGGAGTGGGCATGTAGGAGGTGAGACGGAAGAGAATCTATTGTTCTCTCGCAGAAAACCAATCGATACTTACCAATCGAACAAAAAAACGATACTTCAATTACAAATTTTCAATCTACCTCGACAATTTTTGTGTTCGAAATATTTTTTTAATAACTTTTCCTTTTTTCCCACACATGTCAAGCCTTCTTTTATTTTTTTCGCTTGTCTTTTGCATTATTGGAAAATAATTAATATGAATAGAAAAAGTAACAGCGTCGTGCCGTTTGAGATACAAGTTGGCAGCACTGATTCACCCAGCTGTTATGTTTCTTCCCATAGTGAAATGTATCATCACAACTCCATTCGTATTTGCCGCGCTCAACCCTCCACGATTCCTAACCTCGACGTTGTCGCTATTTCAAGTTGCGCACGCAGGATCCTATTTTTCACGAGTTTTTTAATCATCCCTTCTAAACAATTCTCGTAGGTCACTTGGATTATTTTTTTTTCATGTTCCTCCATGAAAGCTCCACCCAAGTGCGAAATTTCAGGAAAATGGCAACTTTTTTTTTCTATTTTTAATATTTTTCTTCAAATGCCCATTTTTTGAAAAATTCCTGATATGTATCACCCATTCTCCTAGACTATTTAAGATTTTGCAAACAAGGGTATTTTAATTTTCTTTTTAAAATAAGGGTATCTGAAAATTGGCGTTAAGACTAGGGTATCTCAAAATTTATGTGAAAACTTGTTGTTCATGTCCATTTCTAAGTCTCACGGAGCTCGCAAATCATTTTATGTCATTAGGCCCGATAAACCGCGATTCTAACCTCGCTTCGCTCACTTAGATCGCGGTTTTCGGGCCCAACGACATAAAATAGCGTATATCACACGACGATAAAAGCATTATCTGGCAAATGTGATTATATGCCACATTCGCCAGATAATACTTTTATCGCCTAATGACATAATATACTATTATTTCTCTTGTAATGTGAACTACGTCCTGTTATTTCTACTTTTAGAAGCATTCATACCATTTATACAGCTGTCAAGAGAAGAAAAACGTGAGATTTCAGACGATTTTTCATATGAATTTTGAGATACCCCAGTCTTAACGCGAATTTTGAGATAGCCTTGCTTTAAGGAACTTCCGCAGTAAGTATATGGGAGTAGAAGGAAATGGACTACAGAGCTGAAATTTTGAGAATATATTCTTTGAGTGATTACAAATATCCTCCCAAAGTCCCAAAACGCTGAACCACGTAGATTGTTGAGGAGAAAATATGAAAAATGTGTCATGTACACAGTCTTATGGCACCACTTTTTCAAAAATCACAAAAAAATAATCGACAATGAATAAAAATCCAAACGCTTCACGAATAGAACCGTATATATTTCAGGAACATATCCCCACAATTTCATTGGCCATCACCACAGGGATTATTTGTAATTATTGAAAATGTATGGCATAGTTTGGGATTTTAGTTACATTAGAGTAAACTGATGGCTGAACATGACAAAGTTGAGGGAGGTTAGAGTGCGCGTGACAGAGGCCATCGTGGGAACTCAACCAAAGCATATACTATAGATTCTATAGTACAGTATAGGATTTTATCGGGACACAAGGATACCAACTGCGTCGAACAAAAATGCGTGGTTGTCAAATCTCTCATGAAAATTTTTATTTGTTAAAAAATTCGGATAAATAATATTTTGGAATATAAATTATTTGGAATTGATTAATCATAAATAATAAGTGTAAAGAAACCTAAACGACGAATTTTCTATACACCCGTGAATTTTTCGTCATTTCATTATTTTTTTGTCAAAGGATACAGTGAACTGTCGGAACCTTTGATATTTTCCCCCACTCCATAGCCCCAAAATGTACTGCGGAAATTCCTTAAAATTAAAATTTGAATACTCTTGTTTTATTAGATGTCGATAAGGGTTCCGAAAAAATCACGGAATGTATAAAAAAATCATCAATTTCTTGACTTTTCTTGTGACCCCCCTGATCACGCCATGAATACCTTAACAATCACGTGCCATTATCATAATCTTCCATTTCTCTTATTCATTCGGAGTCAAAGGGTCTCAATGATAGCAAGGAATTGCAAAGCAAATTCACAGTGAACCTGCGATAATATCGTACAACCTATTACCTACAACCTTTATGAAACAGTGATGCACGTTGAAACAGTTGCGTGTAACTGGCATTGGCCCTGAGGCGCTTCCCAGGCGTAGGTATCGGGGGTTCTCCCTGTGATACTTTTATATATTCGATCCCTCAATGCCGTACCTTCTTTCCGGTCCGTAACGGTAATCTGTGTTTCTTCATTTTAGTACATCTATTTATTTATCTCAAACATCTGTAGTTATTCACACCTTTCCTTTTGAAGAGCTTTTAGAATTTAAATTCTATAAATCAAAATACTGGGGCAATGAAGTCCATTAGTATTCATTAGAATGAAAAATGACAGGTCTCGGGAGCAGGATGATTGAAGTGATGAAATAGTTTGGTCTAATGGAGATAAACATAGACTTTACTGTCGCCAATGCCTTTTTTTTCTCAGCTGAATTGATTGAAAAGGTTTTTGGGGAAAATTATGCTCTTCAATTTAGCCCACGCAGAAAAATCCGTTGGCAACCACAGTAAGGTGAATGCCCCAGTAGCAGAGCTCTTGAGGTTGTGTAAACATGACTTAAATTGTGAAGATTAATATCTAAAATAAATTCTAAACGCAAGTTAATGTAGATGGAACCATTGGGGTTGAGGTTGTTATCAATCTGCAATCTAGGATTATTGATAACAATTCATTTAGAGGTGCCAAAATAACAGAGTGTTATGAGGAAATGAACTTTTCAAGGATTGGGAGAAGATTATAAACTGAAGAAGATCTCGAAGAATCCCTCTTTAAAAAAACGCATGGGAAATATCTCGGACGAATGGAGAAAATAAGGCGGTTTTCATGAGTACAAGCGTCTTGCGGCGAATTTTCATGCAGCTCGTCTAACAAACAAAAGAGAATTGAATACGATTATATGAAACATGAATGAACGAGTCAGAATTGTCCAAATCATTTAGGTCAGAGGAAACTGAGCGTCGCGCCGCACTTTTTCCGATTTGTTAAATTACACTGGACTACAGTGGTACTGGGAAGATTGTAGCTCTTGGTTCCTATTTTCCCACTACTATGTTATATGGAACCTAAAGACTAGAGACTCACCGGTACGCCCATAAAGCCTCTGAAAAATTTGAAAAATTTCACTTTGAAAATTTCAAAATCTCATTTTGAAGTGTCTAGAAACCGTGTCAATTAAAATATCAAGACGTGAGGGCTTTTCTCCATCTTATGAAATCAATGTCTCTTTGAAAAATTTAAATAAAAAGGTTCTCTTACATATTGATTCTTTTTTGACATCCTCTGGATTAAACATTTAAGCGCTTTATGTAAATTATTATAATTAAGAACTCGAAAAATGACGATGTAAACATGTATATGTCACATCGTTACATGTAAATATGTTATATATCAGATATATTTCTGTATTTTTGGAACTCTTTTTTTAGCAGAATAAGCCGAATGGTTTAAATGCTATAAATAAAAAAAAGAAAATATCCGCCAAAAATATCATAAGTAGTTAGATTTTCAAATTTTTTTTCCGAATCTCTGGGCCGTGTACCGTGTATAAGGCGAATTTTCATAAAAGCATGATAACTTTGAGCTTGAATATATAATTAAGGGTAACACTGAACATAAAAAATCTCACGGGACTTCTTTGAGTATATGATCTAGCTCACTTTTGATTTTTTTTCGATTTTTCCTAGATCTTTAAAATTCATCATTATGTCGATTTATGCTGGTGTTTTAACACTCTGTTAACCCCAGTCTGGTCATCAAACGAAACCCTGCGATTGGTCACCTCCGCGGGGATTCCCCGCCGTGTTATTTAGGCTTTAGCGTTGTCGAATGCACTTCACACTGCCCGGACGCGTTTAGCGAGATTCCGTCAACGTCGCGTCATGGGCAATTTCATTTAACATGGGAAAAATTATTCATGTGTCGAAAATAATTTGTTGTCTTTAGAAATTTTGGGAAATATGTTGTTCTAAAAATTACTATAAATTTTAAGACGCTTCAATTGACAAAGTAAAATTTTTTTGCTTTTTTCCATTCAGCCAGTTAATTATAATTAAATAAAAACGACGCGCGACGAGGTTTCTCTCATAGGGTGACCAATCTAGGGTTAAATTTTCTTATTTATGATATAAGGTGCCAAAAAAACAGCGCAAAAAAGTCCTGTTCTGCAGTCCAAAAGCCGAAAAAGTAACTGAGCTCCCCAAAGACCAAATTTTTCCAATCGGAGAGTGAACTCTCCCGGAAAGTAAGAACACGTGGACTCCAATACTCACCCCAGTTCAAATCCCAAACAAACCAAAATGTGTCTCCTGTTATGCACCTTAACAATTTTATCACAATTATTATGCGCATCACTCGGGAAAAATTTGACCAGATTCGTAAGAAAGCCACTGCGCGCACCGCCTTGATATAACGAGCGCTCTATTCAATCAGCCTAAGATTTAAAGATTATTTTTTATTTATAGAATAGATAAAATTACAGCTCCATTTTTTTTCTCCGCTTTCCCATTCAAAGTTCGTCATCATCCATCAAATTCCGAAGGTGGACCACCTGTTTCGTCCGGTTGAGTGGAGTTCAACAATCTCCGTAATCTCCTGAATGGCATTTCACAATTAATGGCTCGTTAACGGTTTATTTTCAGTAATTGAATAATCGAGGTGCATTTGACCACAAAAAATACATAAGTCGGAATGTTACCGCGACAAATTGCTGTCCATAAACAAAATAACATGCTATTACATATAAAAGGATTACTCAAAGGCATCAACGTTTTTTCCAATCTTGACATGCTTGACGAATTATACATCTTTGGGATTACAAACGGAGCAAAATTGTCATTGGCATTGGCGTTAAAATTCATCTCGGGATTTACCAAATCCGTCAGTGGGTATGTTTTCGTCAAAATCAATGGATTCCCAGAATTTCTTATCTCCGAGGTTTGAATTCTCCTCGATTTGCAGTTTCTGGGGGCCAGAGATGTGAAGATACTTGAGGGACTCTTCGTATGGATTCAATTGTGGCCATTTGACGCCGATTCTGGGTGATCTAGATTTTGAAATCCGTGATTAGTCATTCGGGAGATTGATATCTCTGAATTCACTTACCCATTCGTGGCGAATGATGTCCAAATGTCTAACAACGTGTTCTGGACGTTGAGGGATTTGCCGGTCACCCAGGGCTCGTGATCACGACGAATTACGGTGAAAACGTCATCGCCGTGCGAGACACCTAGAAGAATAGTAAATAGATCACTTGATGATACCAGTATTAATAGACCGAAAGGCTATTTCCAGAGAATAAGAATGACAGTTATCCACAGTTTTCAGTATCAAATTTACGAGTAGAAATTACTATTATTACCATTAAGAGGCTACGTCCCCTGCTCGCTCCGCTCACCAACCCCCATATGACTCCCATAATTCTTATTCTGACCCTTGTGACCCTCATTCTGATCCTCATTATACCTCTCCTGACCCTTAATCATATGACCTTTAACCAAACACTCGTGACCCTTATTCTGAGCCTCATGACCCTTCGTTTCACCCTCATGACCCTGACACTGAACCTTGTAACCCTTATTTTGACTCTTATCACCCTTATTCTGACCCTTATGAGCCTTATCCTGACCCTCATTCCCATTATTTTGATACACGTGACCCTTATTTTGACCCTCATGACCCTTATTTAAATCCTCGTGACCCTTAATTTGACCCTCGTGGCCCTTATTCTGACCTTCATAACCCTGATTCTGCACCTCGTAATCTTTATTCTGAACCACGTAACCCTTATTCTGACCCTTACGACTCTTATGACTCTTATTCCGACCTTCATGGCCCTCGTGATCCTTATTCTGACCCCCATGACGCTTATTTTGACTTGCGTGGCCCTTATTCTGACCCTCATGATCCTGATTCGGAACCTCATAACTCTTATTCTAACTCTTACGACCCTTATTCTGACCCTCATGGCCATTACTTTCAGCCTTGTGACCCTTAATTGTGACTTCTATTGGAAGCTATAACGACTGGGGATTACTAATATAGGAGTGAGGGCTAAAACTACTCTAAACTCTAACTACCAAGATCCCTGGTAAGAGATGAGGAATGGGACAAGGTTGGTCAAGGGCCAGCATTGGGCCGTCCTCGGCCTGCTAAGGGAACATGGCAAAAAATTTCCAAGTAGCATTAACTATAAATGCGCGATTTGTCTTAGAATTATAGCACTAGTATCAACAATGATGAGAGATATTGCTGGCGATTCCGAATGGTCATTACTATAAGCAATGCTCATAGTTGTCTCATTGATTACTAACAATGTCAGACTAATTAAAAAAACAAAAAATTACCGAAACCGTCCTTCGTACGGATGTAGTCATCACTGAGACTGAATTCCCCTCGATAACTGTAGAAATAGAACCAAACTGGACTGCGATTGGCTTTGGCCATTTCCCTAGCTGCTTTCTCGCCGTCCACGACGAACAGTCTATCACCGATCATATGGATAAGCGGCTTGGCAGTCTCTCTGTTAATCTGTTTAGCATCCAAATAATGTTGTCTGATCTTCTCTGCGACATTCGCATGCTCCGATTTGGGAATAGTGTAGTTGTAGTCGAGTAGATACGGTGCAATCAGATCCCAATTCTGATCTAACTGTTCCATGTATTCTGGGTTAGCGACAAATTCAGCTGCCGGATAAAGTCCTTCCTCTGAAGTCACAGTTGTCAACCACGGGACATCAGCAGCCTCACCATTCGTGATGATATCAATTGGTGATCGGTGTATGAACGAGTGGCTGGATTTTTTCTCAACGACTGGGCCGAATGGTGTGTAAGGATTAAATAACCATGGCTGTGAACAATATTATGACAACTAAGGTAGGGGAGAGTCGGACAAAATGGGACGTTTCATGATCTTCTCTAGTTGTCAATATCATCACTTATAAGTGGTCGGATGATTATTTATTTATTTTTCCTGCCATATATTCCCTATTCGAGTTTTTACATTTTTTTCTCCTTTTTTTAAGCTTCATCGGCCGACTTCCTCTTCAACCGCATCGTATTGTACCCCAAGAGCTGTACCCCATGTACAGACTCTCCTGTTGACCAAGGGAAACCATGGAAAACCTTGGTTGACACGAACGTTCATCGACCGAGCTTCATCGGATAATGTTTTCCTAATACTTCTCCGATGATTCTCAGTGTCTAGACTTCCGTTCGACGGTTTCCGAAAGATTAAAAATTCCAATTGGCTCAAGCCGAACTCGAACTCGCGCCTCACGGGTCCCGCCGTCCGGCGGAGCGATTTAACCACTTCGGCCTCCGTCGCCGGTCATCACTTATAAGTGAAGATATTGACAATTGAAAAAGATCCCAACACGTTCCATTTGGCCCGACCCTCCCCTATCCCTAAACCCAGGTGGGAATTTATCATTGGTTCAAGCTTGAACCAAGGTTGGATCAAGACTAGTCTAGCTTGGTTTAAGCTTGGTTTCCACGCTTGAAAACCATTGCGAATTCTTAGTTTGTAGTGCTCAAGTGACCGAATTTAGGTTATATAGAACATATGTGCAGTGTGTGGTAGGATCATTAGAGGTCTCTTGCACCTCATTCTTAGATGCCCTCTTTATAATGATATCAGATCTGATTTCTTCCCGAAATTTTCAATCTCATTGCAAGATTTTTCGCAGCTTGAAAACTTCTTAATTCGTGGTAATTTTCAAGACACAAAAATCTTCTGTAATTTCCTCGCCACATGCTTCAACAAAAGGTACAATTCTGACATTTAGTTTACTCGGTGGCTCTTGTAACTAACTATACATTTTATATAGCCAATGTAAATATCCCAAGTAATTCGTTACGCAAATGATGATAATTACAAATTATGATAATTTAATAGCAAATTAAAGTTTTTAGTATAATTACTCTCCCCATGCAATGGGACATTGTATCCTTATGCATTAATAAATAAATAATAATCGGAGGTTAGACCAAGGAGAGTCAAGCGCGAAATTGAATAAAATATTGTTCCCAATTGTGAGCCACAGTAGTGGTCACACGGCTAGCATGGGGTTCCGACGTCGTCTAAAATAAACAGCGTTTATTCTGGATAGTACTTGGATGGGTGACCGTTTAGCCCTACCTACTCGAGTGGAACTGCTGCCGCCAGGCGCAGGTGTGGAGAACTACGGTGCCCATCCAGTCAGTGGACGGATGGGGACAGTAGGCTCCTGCAATCGGCCGGCTATACGACTGGGGTTTTCAATGATTTCGAAAGGCATAACAGACGAATGGGGAGCCTATCAAATCGTAATGGTAGTAGGAAAGATGAATAATATGAATAAAAAAAAATATTGTTCACAATATTCATTGCAGAAATTCCCGCAAAAATGTATTCAACAATGAAAAATCCAAAAAAGTAAAAAAAGAATTGCTAACTCGAACGAAATACTTGGATATCCTTAAGGGGTAACAGAAGGCCAACATTTCTTCGAAATTTTCAAACAAACTACCTGCTCAAAGTTATCAGTATTTTTTGAACCCAAAGTACATTGACCTTCATCATCGCCTCCTGGAGATTGATGTGCTTTGATTTGTAAAAATATCGATAAATTTGGGCAGGAAATTTATTGATATCTTTAAGCGGTAACAGAAGGCCAACATTTCCTCGAAATTTTCAAACAATCTACCTGTTGAAAGTTATCAGTATTTTTTTAACCCAAAGCACATTGACCTTCATCATCGCCTCCTGGAGATTGACGTGTTTTGATTTGTAAAAATATCGATAACTTTGGGCAGGAAATTTGTTGAAAAATTTGGAAAATTGGTCGCATTCTATTACCCCTTAAATGAAATGGCCCGTTATGCGACATTACGGGAAATTTCGTAAACCCGGACTACTCCCGGGTAATGTAGAGTGAATTCGGCAACGCTGAGACCTAAATAACCCGCCAGGAATTCCCGCGGAGGTGACCAAGTCTCCAGGTCGCGTATGGTAACCAAGCTAGGGTTAATAGAATCGAATTACTTTTAACAACACCGTTAATGAAGAGGTGCTTCACAAACGCTGTCAAAACGAAAATTAACGCCAAGCTAAATGATAAATATACATTCCCGTAGACATTTCAAGATCGAACTTTGAGGAGTGTCGACTGCCAGTTCCCAGACGAGGGATCGTGAGAAATAGTACGGAAAAGGAATTATTCCCAATGAGGTGCTGTCAGTCGGTCAAACGACTGTAAACTGTACTGTCAGCAACTAAATAGATTACGCAAGGCAATCGAGAAAAATCAGAATTGATCATTAGAAAAGGTGTCATCGCCCGTCACGATGACCTAAAGACCTCACATATCTTCGGTGACTCATCAATAATATGTGAGGAAAAGTTTTGAGGAATCCACCATATAGCTTTATGTGACGTGAGAATAGACTGATGAAAGATTTTAGTCATAAATGTGACAGACATTACAGATCTGTGCAATGTATTCTAGATACTGCGATGTTTTTGCGATTTGTATTCGTGCGAGAACTTCCGCTATTTCAATACGAATCGCCGTCATGACGTGTCTGTTTTCTAGGAAAGGGTTTTCGTATGTAATACCACAAGAGCATGGTTGCAAACAAACGAAGGAATCAAGTTTTTCACCTTAAAAAATCACGAGTACGAAGCACCAGTGACTTTCCCTAAAAATTTTGACGAGTTCGTCTGTATGTAGGGAACCTTTAGGAAAATACCTAATTAATTTTGAAGCTCGAGTGGTATTTGGAAGGGAATTTTTCCATCCAAATTCCGGCCAAGAGAATTACACTATGAAACAAAACCTATATGTCAGTTCCAACGAGGGGCTCTCACCCGACCAAGAAATCTTTTGTTTTTCATATATATATCAACATGGAAAATTGCTACTCGCCAACCCCTATATGACCCCCATGATCCTTATTCTGACCCTTCTTACTCTTATTCGGACCCTTACTCTACCCTTGTGACCCTTAATCTGACCCTCGTGACCTATATTCTGACCCTCATGACCCTTAAACTAACCCTCGTGATACTTATTTTGACCCTTGCGATCCTTATATTGAACCTTTTGACCCCTATTCTGACCCTCATGACCCCTAATGTAACCCTCGTAACCCTTATTTTGACCCTTGTGACCCTTATTCCGACCTTGTGACCCTTATTCTGGCCCTCATGACCCTGATTCTGATACTCGTGACTCTTATACAGCCCGTTATGATCCTTATTTCGACCCCCATGATCCTTATTCTGACCCTTCTTACTATTATTCGGACCCTTACCGACCCTTTTGACCCCTATTCTGACCCTCATGACCCTTAATCTAACCCTCGTAACCCTTATTTTGACCCTTGTGACCATTATTCCGCCATCGTGACCTTTATTCTGGCTCTCATGACTCTGATTCTGATGCTCGTGACCCTTATACAGCCCGTTATGATCCTTATTTCGACCCTCATGACCCTTATTCTGATCCTCAGGACCCTTATTTTGACCCCCGTGACCCTCATTTTGACCCTGTACCCTAATTTTGGAGTCCTAATTTCGAGTAACAAATTTTTATCACCAGAAATCGATTTGGATTTTTATAATATAGAGAGATACCGTGTTGATCATGTAAAGCAACAGTCGAATAGTGCAATTTTATTGGCTAACGTTTGGATGGGAAAAATTCTCAGTGTGAAATGTGTGATGTAGCCCCAAACACTGCCCTCTGATTGGTTAAAAGCAGAGTTGCAGAAAATGATCCCTGAAATTTTGATTGGGATATACTTCATAGCATCGAATACTGCGTTCTGATTAGCTAGAAATTATCATGGAAACGTGAAGAACATACCATAAAATTGCCAACTAATTGAACAATACTCTTCGCCGGTCTACTCTTCAAACAATCGACCATCTCTTCATTATCCCTCGTCGGACATCCCAGAATGTCTGCAAGCTTCTTCCCTTTCTCCACTGAACGCTCCGTCTGTGTCCAACAATCGAGGGCCGTTCCGCTGAACGACATTCCGGCTGGGAATCGAAGAAAAAAGGTACAAATCATTTACGAACAAAGGTGAGTAGAAGACTCTAATTGAAAATACAGCATCATTCTCACTGCTTAATATCACATACCGTGGAAGAGCCCCCGACTCAGGGGACTGAGGTAGTGATAATGAACACTTGCGCCACCGGCGCTTAAACCAGCCAATGTAATCTTCTTCGGATTACCACCGAAGTATTTGATATTTTCAAATACCCATCGCAGTGCCATATTTTGATCCTTCAGACCCATATTCCCGGGTACGACTCCATCCCCGGTACTGAGGAAACCTAGGAAGATTAGGGATGGTAATTAGGCGAATTATCAGTTCCATCAATTTTCCATGTTAAATACTGTCTCAACTAGTGGACTGGGCTGTTGGTCGCTCGCTGCGCTCGCTCCCATTGCGGGTGGGTTGGTAACGGATGTATTCATGTGGGTCTGACCCGTCGGACGGGTCGCACCAACAACTTCCCGATATTATTATTCCTCCCATTTTGACTAAAAGAATCCTTTTCAACTCTCAATACTCTGTTTATTTGTTCATGAGAAACCCTTGTCTGTGTTCGTTGCTTTTTTGTCATTTTGAAATTTTCTTTCCGGGAAAACTCAAAAACCACTGAACAGATATCAGCCAAAATCTAATCCGCTCTAAGTTGAATGAAAACCTATCGATTGAAAAAAAAAAGTCAAATCGGACAATTCGTTCACAAGAAATCGTTAACCAAAATTTTGACCATGTACAGTCGCGGACTTAAGTTCGTGAACAGCCTGCACTTGCATCCTATGTGTTTTGTTCATGAACTTTAGTACCCGACTGTACATACCTAGTAACACATACACACACACACAGGGATTTTGTTTATAGTCATTTTCTAGTTTCCGAGTTTGGGAAGTATGCAATACTTAGGCGAAGAATCGTGAGGAGCAGTACAAAAATGGATTTATATACAAAGTTGAATATGTCTTAAACTAACCCGCCGATTCAGTTTATTTTCAAGACGAGCCTTCGCAAGAATAAGAAGAAACTTCATACTAAATTTCAAGTTAATATCTCGATTCTTTCAAAAGTTAGAGTGCGTATAAGAATATTGAGAGAAGAAACTGAAAAATGGAAAGATCTCCAAAGCCTTGTATGAACGTGTTTACATATTTTGATCGATTGAAATAGAAAACATCGAGGTGAATATCTGGAAAAAAAAGTTAAACTCAATTGACTATTTTTTTCACCGAAAAAAAAGCGTTTTTAACGTTCTCGAATATTACTTTTACGTCCGTGCATTTTATACTGTATCGCTCTTAAAAAATTACCATGTCAGATTAAAAAAAAAATTGTCGCGAAAATTCAGTTAAAATAAAGAACATCTTCAAGTTTTCACCGGATGGTCATAATAATTTTTAATTTAACATTTTCTCGGCGTAAGACAGAGACGTCACTTTCTAAAAAATTAAAAATAGCGTTTGCTTTAATAAAAAATATCCGGTTTATCCCAATGACCACTAAATATTTGAACGAATTCATTCTCATCCCACCATAATTGATTATTTTTCCGCCCATTAGATTTTCATCAACAGAACTTCTGTATTAATAGAAAATATTTCCTCACACTACAGAAGATTAATAGAAAGTATTTCCTCCACTGATGATAATTTACCTGTGATGAGAGTCCAGCAACTCTCATGAACCGATAAATTCTCGAGAAATGAATGGGTGGTCATTAAGATAACGTAAGTCTCATACCAAGTGGTCCTAAACGGTAGTTAGTAGTAACCATCACTAAATCCCGGTCCATGAGGTAATCTGGACGATTGCCGCTGCCTTCACCAAATTGAAACGCCCCTCCGTGAATGTAAAAAATCACCGGAAGGAGTTCCGTTGAATCTTCTCTAGTTGGAGTGTACACATTAAGATACAGGCAATCCTCTGCACCTTCCACTCTCTCCGGTGGATTCATAGGTACATGAGAGTATTGGAGACATGGGGCTTCACGACGCATGGCTAATAAGGTGCCCTGCCAATTACCAAACTGTTGTGGAGGCTGCGGAAAAAAATGAAAATAAAAGCTTGAGAAGAAAAATTCGTTAAGGGAACAGGTGGCTCGATTTATTATCTTGTGACAATTTATCCTGGTGGTTAGGGGCTAGACTCGATTGGTGCTGAACTGTAATATAAGTTATATGACCCTGGTCATACCCGCGTTGAAAAATTTGTATTCCTATTTTTTAATGGATCAAAAATATCGATAAACCTTCTGTCCCTTCGCGATCTGAAGAATTTAGTCTTAGGCAAACTCAGTTGATCGATTTTTGCATTGGTTTTGAGGTGAATTTTTGACCCAAGCGCATACGATTTTTAGTCTAAAAGTGGCATAACTATTAGGCTAAAAACCGTCTTGGTCTGAAGTCTTTTTTAGTGATGCCGCGAGACGCGGGAGGAACGAGACGAGACGAGACAAACGAGACGAGAGACATGAAAAGAAGAGACGAGAAGAGTCATTCGAGACAATGACAGAAGCGAGACGAGACGAGAAAAGCCGGTCGAAAACGAGAGAAATGGGAGGCAAGACGAGAGTCGAGAGAGCCTCCCCCTCTCTGCCCCTCAGTGTATTTTTTTTCCGTGCAAATTGGATTATAGAGACGAGATAAGGCGAGACGAGATGAAACAGGAAGAAAGAATCTCAATTCTTGATGAGACTAGACGAGAGAATCTCTCAATTCTCGACGAGACGAAAAAACAAATTGCTCTCGTTTTTCGATACGAGACCAGACGAGAGAATGCTTTCCTCACAAGGAGACGAGACGAGAAGATGCAGTTTCTTGTCTCATCTCGTCTCGCCACATCACTGGTCTTTTTACCTATGTTGGTCGGTATTTGCTCTAGTTGAATTATTCATTTGGTCGGTTCTAGACGGGATTAGAAAAAAATGGTTTGACGCAACTTTTAAGCCAAAAAACGACTGGGTTTGAAGTTTTTATTCTTATGTTGGTCAGTATTTGGTCCTGTTGAATGGTTCATTTAATCAGTTTTTAACTTGAAGTCAAAAAAAGTAAAAGTTTCATTTATAAAAAAACAAATTATTCATCCGTAAAAGCTAAAAAGGGGAGATCTAGTCAGTCTATACTTAAGGAAGAGAACTAAACTTTTCAGAGATTCTGGTCTGGTGCAAAGTGTAGTTTTGACTTCTAACAATTGCCGAATTTTTCAAGCTGCCCATCTTAGAAAATTCTTATTAACAAAAATTTTTGCAAGTTCAAGTATTCAAAATTTTTCAAAAGTTCCACCAGTTGAAAAATTTCAAAGTCCACCGACTGAAAATAGTTCTAAGTGTATGAAGAACTTGGAAGAATTTGGCGAACAGTAACTACATTCTGATCGGTATTTTCTCTATTCACGTATTCTCATTTGACTGACCAAAGCAACTTTGAGGTCTTTAACCGACCACCCCTGGACGGATCATACCAAAACCGACCAAATTTGTCGACCCGGGATATCGACGATAGTAGCTATGGCAATGGGTGGTCCACCCTCTGCATTCCATCTTACAGCTAATAATTAAATCAAATTACAGCTGGAGAGTTTCAGAAAATTTATTATCTTCTATTTAAAATTAACGTCTCACATTTATAAGGACCATTATATAACCAAAAATGTATTCTGTAATGTCATTTAGATAAGATAGGTAGCCTAATTAGTAAATATGAGGCCGAAGAGGGTCGACTTTATCGATATGAAGTCATGTATACTTCCATAATATTGATAACGTTCCACACATTTCAGACTCACAATGATCCTGATTATGTAAAGAATTACGTAACTGGAGAAGATCAAAGGAATAATTAAACATTGGTTTAAATTCGAGTTGGGGAACAAAAGCGCGGATATCTTGGAAATTAGAATCGATAAAGTGGGCCTTTTTCATGCGGATGTCCATATGGAGAGGACTCAGTTTGTCGGTATCGAGGTGTACACTGAGAGAAAAATATAATTCTTCTGACTATATTCCATCACCATCGAATTATAGTCAAAAAGTCCTCAACAATTTTTCATGGGTTACGGTAATTATGACCAGAGAAGTAATTACTACAATGGAATGTAGTCATTGCAACTATTTTATAGTTCTCCTCACGATAGATTTGTCGTGGTTACTTTTGAATTTTGGTTAGTTTAACTGCATTTTGATTTGCAAAAATTACGCTTGTGAAGTTACGATAATGTTATGTGCCGCATACAAAAAAAATCGTATCGTTCACCAAATGCTCAACTATTTTCTTATTGTAAATCGAACTTCGGATTTTTCTCTCAGTGTATACTCTGGTAATATTGATAATACTTCCCATATTTTACGCTGATAATATTGATAACATTTCTCATATTTTACGCTGAAAATAATCCTGATGGAGTAAAAAATGACGGCGTTGGAGAAAATAAAAAAATTCAACATTCGTTTAAAGTAGTATTTAACAACATTCAGTTAAATTAGTATTTAATTAGTGGTAGTGTGATGCACGCTATTGCCATTTATCGCCCGATCGTTGGAACAGTTTGAGGCCTCGTAAGTAGGAGTTAATTCATTTTTCAGTATATTTTATTTTATATTTTATTTTATTCAATTGAAGAAGTGAAGGATACGAATTATACTGATGCATTTTTTCGTTCTTTAGGGAAATTCGTTTTTTTCGGAAATTTCTGATGAATTTTATCTTCTCGCCTATTTTTTCTGCAATTAAATACTTTTCTACTTCTGTAGTCGAATATCAGAGCTTTCATTTGAATCTCGATATTGAGCCTTTAGCAAACATTTTAAAAATCTGAGAAATAAATTGGAAAGTTTACTTTTGGAGGAAGATTAATGAAATAATTTAAAAAGTGTGATTTTTGAAAATTACGAGGTCTTTCTATAAATAATTTATAAACAGTTTACCAGTTTATAAACAATTTTCGACCATAAAAATCATTTATTCGAAATCGTAACCAATTTATGCATATTCAGAAATTTACTAGAAATTGATTTCATTCTTAAAAAACTAAGGCTTCCGAAAGTCCAAACAATTTCAATCATTTATTTATAAAGAACGAATGTTTTCAATAAATCATAATTCTGGGCAAAATATAACTTAAATGACGTTGAATATTCATGATTTTTCTCCAATTTTTCTCACGCAATTTAGTTGACAAATTTTTGGATTTGAAAATGGTTGAATCGATGACTACCAATTAAAGTGTCCAAAAAGTTATAGTGGTTTTTAAAACAACATAATTCCTGAATTCATAGAGAACACAAATTATTTCCAATAGATGAACTATTTTGTTCCATGAAGGGGGAAAAAATTGAAGCAAAATTACCGAACAAGTACTTGAAGTAATCGTGAAGTGTACTCGATTTTCTAATGGAGTGATTGAAGCTATTTGGTTTCCAAAAATTAATAATTACTGATACGAAGACGATTCCAAAATTCAGGACATGGTAGGAGTACCGTTACCGCTTAAATGACCGCCCGTTACGCGACGTTGCCGGAATCTCGCTAAATGCGCTCGGGCGGTGCAGAATGAATTCGGCAACGCTGGCGCCTAAATAAGACGGCGGCGAACCCCCGCGGAGGTAACCAAGTCGGAAGATCGCCTATGGTGACTAGAGTAGAGTTAATCAAAGAATGGGCTTCGCAGTTCGAATCCTCGGAGTCTTTTCATCAATCCCAACCCAAAAATTCATGTGTCAACTCTTTTTTCACATAGTTTCGTCCGGACAATTTCGTTGAAAAATCAGATAAGCCCCTGGGTCATATATACATGGGTTGTTGTCAGGCTGTAAAAATTAAAGAAACTTTGAAGCTAAAACTAAACGAAATCGTCACTCACCTCAAACCGCAGTTTTCCAACCGGCGGTTTCGCGTAGGGAATCCCCTCAAAAGCCCGGAATTGCCGGCCATTGAAGGACGTTTTGTAGTACCCCTTGAGTTTCCCCAATGGAGTCTTCACTATTGGATTCACATCCTCATTACCAGAAAGTCTAGCTACTAAAGCGAATAGCACAATCACCCCCAGACACTTCATGTTCCCCTAGGTAGTTAACTCGACACTCGGAGACAAACTGAGAATTATCTCCTTCTGTCTCCTCATATTTATCGATACACTCTTATCATTATGGAGCAGTCATCTCATCCACGACCTGTTAACTGTTTTTTCTCATGATAAAACCAATTGTATACGATTATGCTAATCTCAGTTCAACGTTCAATCCTTTTTATGTTGTATGTATTATATATATCTATCACTATTTGGATAAATCAACATGTTTTGGTATTAATCGTTGCATAACAGCATAACTGACGACTGTGTATTCAAAATTATTACCTAATTTTCGGAAGTCCGTCGGAAAACCATTGAACGCCATCAGTTGCGGAGAAGTTTTCACCCCGGGGAATAACCTTTTCCCGTTATCGAAGAAAAATTGAAAAATGATTTTTCCTCAGCCATCTGATTCTGCAGGTCAAAATTGGTCCAATTTTTTCCTCGAACAAGTGGGAAATTGCTTTCGTCACAACATAGTCAATATATTTTTTGTAATAAATTAGCGATTTGCTTCTGAATGGAATTTCTACGACAATGTATTTTAAAATTCAATGATTCATTCAATCCAGTTGGCAGCCAACATTGTCTGGACGCCGGTAGCCAAGGTTGCCATCTAACATTGCTCCGACGTTGGTAGCCAACATTCCCCAATGTTGGTATTTAACATTGCTCCAACGTTGGCAGCCAACATTGCCCCAACGTTGGTATCCAACATTGCTCCATCGTTGGCAGCCAACATTGCCCCGACGTTGCCAGTCAATATTGCGCCGACGTTGGTAGTCAATATTCTCCAACGTTGTCAGCCAACATTGCTCCTACGTTGGCAGCTTACACGGCCCCAACGTTGGTATCCAACATTGACCCAACGTTGGCAGCCAACATTGACCCCACATTTGCACCCAACATTGCCTCAAAGCCGGCAGCTAACGTTGCCTCAACGTTGATATCCAACATTGCTCCAACTTTCGCAGCCAACATTGCCCCAAAGCTCGCAGCCAACATTGCCCCAATATTGGTATCCAATATTGCCTCACGGCCGGCCGCCAACATTGCTCCAACATTGGTAGCCAACCTTGCCCCAACGTTGGCAGCCAACATTCCCTCAACGCCGGCTAAAAATACCCTACTCGAAATTCCGATGCTAAAATTAGTTATTCTGACACAAAAAATTTTAAATTTCGGATTTAACGAATACAATGCTTTTCTTCGGAAGCAAAAACAAAAACTGTTTTTTCCCGAGGTGAACCTCCCCTTAACGTCTCATTCAATAGACGTCTCAGGAGGATTAACAGTAGATCTCCTACGTCGTGAGCCTTCTATTAATCTCAAAACTGTCTTCGTAAGCCTGAAGGGTAACAATTCACATTTTATCTTTGTTCATCCTCACCGATACCGAGAAACCTTGGCATTCCTAACGTTTTCCTGATTAAAAGACAAGATTTGTCGCAGAATTACTTGGAATAGTAAAAAAAAGAGAGGGAGAGAACGGAGAATCATCATTACGAGATCTTCGAGTTCTCTTCAACCTCTGTGATGGGAAGTTACATTACCCCAGGTGCACTACAGCGTGGGCGACCAGTCCTCCCTTATACGTGGCGTTGGAACTGCGTATGAGTGTGTGGCCTTTAACTAGGTAGATGTTAAACTCACAACCATTTCACTGGTACTGCACATTACAATCACTACCGTTTCGATTATCGGTGAAGGGGCCAAGGGGAGAGAAGATTATGTACATTGAGATCGAGTTCATATTTATGAGATCGAAGGATTACGAATATTGAGAAGGTACAAAGTTGTGGTCGTTCATTGCGAAAAATAGTATTGGAAATTATTGATGATTGATGGTAGTGCTGGGGGAGGCTATTACGGGGCTTGTTACTTCTAATGATCATGAATTTTTAGGACAATTGCGGACACGGAAATAATAACTCGAGAACAATTTGGTCTGAGGTTAACGCAGTGACTTGGTAGGTTTTTGACCTGACTGGGCAACTTTTAGGTCTTTAAGGATATCCAAGTACGTCGTTCAAATTAACTTTTTTAAAAGTAAGATTTCATTTTCGCTGAAAATTCTGCCATTTTTATTTTGACCCTTCATTCGTGACCCTTAGTTTTGGAGTCTTAATTTCGAGTGCCAAATTTTCATCACCAGAAGTCGATTTGAATATCTCTGTATATTATAAAAATCCAAACCGACTTCTGGTGATTAAAATGTGGTACTCGAAATTAAGACTGTAAAATTAAAGGTCACAAGGGTCAAAATAAGGGTCACGAGGATCATCAGGGTCAAAATAAGGGTCACAAAAGTGAGGTTAAGGGTCATGACGATCAGAATAAGGGTTACGAGGGTCAGAATAAGGGTTATGAGGCTCAGATTAAGGGTTATATGGGTCAGATAAAGGATCACAAGATTAGAGGTCACAAGGATCAGATTAAGGGTCCAAATAAGGGTCACGAGGGTTATAATGAGGGTCAAATTAAGGATACAAATAAGGGTCAAAAGGGTCAAAATAAGGGTCTCAATATGTCTCTATATTGTAAAAATCCAAATCGACTTCTGGTGATAAAAATTTGGTGCTCAAAATTAAGACTCCAAAATTAAAGGTCACAAAGGTCAAAGCAAGGGTTACAGGGGTCAAAGCAAGGGTTACATCAGGGTCAAAATAAGAGTTACAAAAGTGAGATTAAGGGTCATGAGGATCAGAATAAGGGTCACGAGGCTCAGAATAAAAGTCACGAGGCTCAGATTAAAGGTTATATGGGTCAGATAAAGGATCACAAGATTAAAGGTCACAAGGATCAGATTAAGGGTCCAAATAAGGGTCACGAGGGTTATAATGAGGGTCAAATTAAGGATACAAATAAGGGTCAAAATAAGGGTCTCAATGTCTCTCTATATTGTAACAATCCAAATCGACTTCTGGTGATAAAAATTTGGTGCTTAAAATTAAGACTCTATTAAAGGTCACAAGGGTCAAAATAAGGGTCACAAAAGTGAGATTAAGGGTCATGAGGATCAGTTTAAGGGTCACGAGGGTCATATTAATGGTTGTATGGGTCAGATTAAGGGTCCAAATAAGGGTCACGAGGGATATAATGAGGGTCAGGGTAAGAATCATGGGGTCATATGGAGATCATATGGGGGTTGGCGAGCGGAGCGAGCAGGGGTTGTAGCTGCCTAGTTTATAATATAGAGAGATATTATTGAAATTATTATACTATATTATTATTAAAAAATACAAAATTAATGAACAATTTGATTTAAATGAGCCATTTTCCTGCATTACTTTCATAACGCCCATAATGTTGCAGAATGGAATTAACATCATTCAATTTTCGCCACCTGAATCCAATCCACTGAAAAAAAAATTGTTGTCCTCCATGAAATAACTGTCGAAAAATACAACAGTAAAATGCAAATCCACAGCAATAAAAACATCCAAATTCCATATTACTGAACGAAACTTTTACGTTTGATAGTAACTCAGTCATCATAATTAAAAATCATCATAATTAAAAATTTAATGATCATAGGATACAACGAAGAGTAATAAAAATAACGCCTGAAATTAACAATGTATTTATAGCCTTTCAATCCACAAGGCTCCTAGAATTGTGAAATTTCAATTGTACAGCATGAATCATGAGTAATAAAGCAATCACTTTTCATCGCTTTTCATCGGTTGAATCTCCAGGTGCTTCTGTCATGAAGTCTCCGAAGGAATAAACAGCAAGCAAGAAAAATAAACCAGCGCTGGCCTTCAGCGGCCTTCGCGCTCTCCAACTTGGCCAAATGGAATATTCTATCGAAGACGCCATGACCAAATATCGATGATTCGTTGATTTAGCGAGACGTTCGGCAAAGGCAATACTCGCTTCAGGGTCTCAAACATCCACACGATTGATTGTACCATCTTCAGGTGAAGACAATGACGTCACCATTTTGTTTCTCACCTCGACCCCAGTGACCTCTCGTGTAACGCACAGGTGACTATGACCGTAATTCCACAACCAATGAAATACCAGGACTCTGCAAGCAGATGTATTTCTCGTTTTTTTTTCTCCTCTCGTGTTCATCTTCACACATAAATTCCCCTATTTCCTCCCGACTATTATTAAGTCTCCATGTATTTTATTGAATTAATATTCTTGAGTTGTAAAAAGTCTCAAAAGAACGCAATAGTGCGGGTTTATCATTAAATTTTCGATGACGTAAGAACTGGAGTCATCATCCAAAACAGAAATAACATCCCATGGTTGTAGTCTTCGTAAATATTTTTCACCAAATTCCGAAGATCTCAGTGTCTAGACGCTTGATATATCCTTCTGTATTTGATCCTCTATTAAAAAATGGGTGGAATATTTGTGGTCAGCAATCTATTGCGCTAAGTATATGCTCGACTTGGGAAGATTTCAAGGTTATCTTAGCTTATGAATAAATAAATAAATAAAAATATTTTTAAGAAATTTAAAACAGATAAATTTATATTCTTCTTTTTAGTTTATTAGACATATATTGTCAGCTGTATAGAAAAGTAACGTAAGTGCCAAAATACGAGAACTCAATAGAAAAATAGAAACAAAAAACAAATATGGGAACTGGAATTAAAAATTCAAAATTTCTGATATGAGGACATTTTTTGGCACTTACGTTAGTCTTCTATACAGCTAACGATATCTGTGATAGCTAAGCTATGGAGGAAACGAACGGGAAAAATATAGTTAACAAATTCGAATATTCAAATTTCAAAAAAAGGTGAACTTTTGGATACAACAAAAATGCTTATGGAACTATTATGAACAATAAATTTATATGCACATTGAAAAAATAGAAGTATAACATTTTAAAAGACAAAAACAAAACGAAAAATTGCGAATTTCGATAGTGGACAGTTTATTCCGAAAATATTTATTTCCACACTTGGAATATGGAACCGATTTCACTCTTAGATGCACATAATTTTTAAACCTTAGAACGTGAATTTTTCATCGTGCAAATTATTAAAGA